CACATGATACATTTTTTTCTGAATGCCTAATTTACTACCTTTTCAAAATACTTCATTTAGCTGCACCAAATCTGCCTAGTACCATAACCATTCAACCGCCACAATCCATAATTTGTGTTGAGTGGACACCAGGATTTAATGGTGGAGCATCACAAAGTTTTATAGTTCAACATTCTACTGATGATAAAGTATGGGTCAATTCGTCCACAATACCCAATGGTATCAATAATGATCGAGTTGACTATTGTATAGAAGGATTAGAACCAGATACTAGTTATTATATCAGAGTGATAGCTAGTAATAAATATGGTGAAAGTATGACAGGTATGATTTGTCAGATAGAATCTTATTAACTTCGAGACAAAATAGATCTTAAATACTGGACATCAGACATTCGTGGCGTAAGTATTGTTGGCACAGCTTTTTGGAAAGTAAAAATAATCATGTTATTTTGAATTTTAGCTAGTTTTCTGGGATTTAACAAGTCCGCCGACTGCAGTAAGAATATTAATTGTGGTGACACCAATGATATCAATACTAGTTATAACAATGGACTTGGTGCTGGTATTGGAATAGGTGTAGGGATATCTATAGCTATAGCAGTGATGGTTGCTACAGCAATATTTATTTATAGATATTGGTCAGGTCTGAGATTAATATTATTTTCTAAGATTCTGGTTCTGGCAACACACTTAAAAATTGATATTTGCTATGTGTGTTTATGTTTTTCCATATCAAAATACTTGCAACTAATTAATGTATTAACTTGGATTATTGCTAGAAAAGGTTGGAAGAAGCAAACATGTTCTCTCCTTTTATTTAAGGCAAACGAAAGAAAGTTGAAGAAAAGTAAGTTTTTAGATTAGAAAAAATAAACGTGTTTTAATAACTGATCTGGCAGTTTAAGATTAATTTGATGCTAAATTCTCTGCTTTCATAGTTTTGTTTCATTCGTCAATTTATCAATTCGTTCTGTCCGAGCGAAGGTAACCAAAAAAGTGACCCAATGTTAGTCAAGCAATCAACAGTGGTGGTCAACTGTATATAATCTTAGTTTATTGTATTGTAATCTTAGTCATATATATATATACTTATATTATTTTATAGCTACGCTGGGATTAATACTACGACAAGATCTGGTAAATAGTTTCTCTTCATTTGTGTCTTTTATATGTCTTTCTAATTCAAAGTGTTAGGCAATTATTAAGAGTCACATAGAGAATTGATAACCTTCAGCTAAACTTTGTAGGCATATTATTTGTGCAATGAAAAGGAAAATCTACTATTGGAGTAGACATTAATTACACTTTATGTAAATTTTAAGATAATTTGGTACATTAAGAAACAGTTGATATTGTGTTTGATAAAACTGCATGTAGATCATTTATAATATTAAGATAGCTTGTCAGGCAAGGTACCAGAAACCCACTCGCAGAGTTGATTTTAAATACAAAATATTTGGCAGTACAGTAACAATTACCAGTATGAAATATTCAACCTTCAGTCACACATTTCTTTTGAACTTTTTGGTGTGATACTGTATAATATTACGGAGTTTCGTCAAAATCAATCAAAAATTGTGCCTTCCAGATTGTTTATGGGCTAAAAATTGAACGCGTTTTCAAGAAAAAGGGCAATAACTCATACTCATTATATTACGATTTTATTGATTTTCAATAGGGTTTATCCTTGGGTGATAACAAAGTCAAGAATTGCACCTTCTAGAGTGTTTACGAGCATTTAACAAGGGCATTGACACATACTTATATACTTACACATCATTATTTTCTGATTTTCAATATGGTTCATCTTCGGGTGATTACAAATAATCATACCAAGTTTTGTGAATAATTGCACCTTCTAGAGTGTTTACGAGCAATTGTGGACGGACGGACAATCGGATATGGATGAAGCCAATTTCATGTGGGCGTATAAAATTGTAGTACAATGCTTAAAGGACGGTTATCCAGATATTTTAACAAAAATGCATTAAATTCTTTCAAAAACAATCATGAAACATTTATTGATCAAAATATCTTCTAAATGAATCTAAGTGCACAAATGGATGAATATTGAATGCTTTCACTAAAAATCACTTGTCATTTTTCTGTCGATGATCTGAAGGCGTGACAACAAGAATGACGAAAATCATTGCAAATGTATTTATAACCAAAATTATAAATTTAATTTTTAATTTGTATTAGTCACAAAGTTCCCTTCTATTTGTTTTAGATGACACACAAACATATCAAGAATTAGATACAGTCAACAATACAGCTAGAATACAATCAGATAATAGTTCTAATGTTGATAGAAACGATGCTAATATAGATGATATTAGACCATATGCTAATCTTGGTAAAAGTTAACAGAGGTACAAATATCAGGTTTTACCAAATTGATGTTTGATGATGAGGAATAGATAGTGATACATTATGCTATTTATGATCTTTACTAGTTCGTTGAAAACTTTTAATCAATCTTTTTCTTCGGTTTGTGTTGATCGATATGTAGATTTCAGGTGTGAAAATTTACCATCTTATATCGGTTTAATATTTTTTAAACATTGCATTTAATAAAAATGACAATTACTTTTCAGAATAAAGTTATGGGGAGAAAGTTCGGAAACACAAATTGTGAAAAATGTACTACAGATTTACCATCAAGAGTGTATTTCCTTTTTCTTAGAATAATTCAATTATAGTATCAAAATATTTTAAATAGTGCCCAATACAGTAAATGTGGGGCGATATAGAAATCATTTTATACTATATATTGTATAATCATATATTTTGTATTACCTGCGATGTTGTTTTTAGTAGTTTTTTTTGTTGTAGTCATTAAATGACTTTTCCTGTGATATGGTTTTTATCGTCTTGTTTTGTTGTCACTATGTGACTCCTTTCTGTGATATTGATAGGTGTTATATTGTTTTATTATTTTATCATATTCTGGAGCCATATAGCCCGTTTGGTGCTGATGTTCCTTAATGCATTTCATTTCATTTGTATTTTGTGTAATTTTACATTGCTTGATGTATTAGTATTCTCATCGATATGTTTACCCAATAATTCATAATTTCATTAGCACTGCATCTAGAGTAAAATTTGCTCATTGAAATAAAACCAGTATTAAAAACAAACAAAATATTAAAAACATACAATGATTAATCTATTCAAAATTTAAAGTAGAGATCCGACTATCTTAAAAAAGCCACAACCTTCTCATAAAGAGAAATTAGGTCGGTTAAATAACAGAATGAATGTGTTGGTTGGAATTAATTGGTCGTCACGACGGATGGATATTCTATCAACGTTCGTGACTCCAATATCCTGTAATTCCTCCTTCATTTCCTCAGGAGAACATTGAGGTCTGGATGTCGAATGAGTTCAGAGAGGAATGAGGTGAAATTTTGATAGGGATATTAGCCAATGTAGATGAATTTAATAACAGCTCAGAATGAATTTTGCGTGAGCATTCAACCAACAAAGACCCATTACGTAATATTTGTCGATTTTGGTTCACTGGCAAGTCCAGTCAAACCTTTTGAAATTGCAAATGGGGACAATGATGATAAAGACCTCTCAGGGTCACTACTGTCAATGACAAGAAACCGAGGCCATGATTCGTCTGAATTAGACGAATCAGTAAATTCGGCCTCAGTTAACCGGCGCTTACGCTCGTTTAAGTTTTTTTTAGCTGGTGTAGCCATGAAGAAATATTAAAGGATTCATCTCCCGAAACCCCCGACCACCACGGACCACGACATCCGCGCGGGCTTTACGCGGGACTCCAGCGCCGGCGCCCTAGGGGTAATCGGGAGATATACTTAGACAAAAAAAAAAAGAATAAAAGTTTTGGGTGGAGCAAATAAATTCCGAACTTTTATTTTTATTTTTTTACCCAATTGACCCAAGCCGCTGCTTCTGAGTCAGTCTAACCTACTAACAATAGCAGGTAACAATCCTATGTCTTAGAGTTGGGATCTCAGGGCCTCTAACCCCCCTGGGATCCTTCTAGCTACTACATAGGATCACTAACAACAATAGCCCGTAACGTCCCAGTGGTGAAGTCGAGTAACCCTGGAAAATAATAAACTCTTCTCTGGAGAAATGTACTGTGTGTCTTGCTATCACTTGTATATATGAGATCGTTTTAAGCAGACACAATATCTGAGAGCTGTCCAGAGTATTGAAGTGAATGTGAATGTTATTGTTAAATAAAATTGTATTATTCCTAACGGTGTCTTGCATCAGTGCAATCAAATCCCCGTCCCTGAATTGTCGTTGGTTTCAAACTGACACGTCCACCCACAGCCAAATTCTCATTGGCTTGCATAGTATAGAAGGCAGGCTAAGGTAATCTCTTGCAAAAACAAGTCGGATGATTGGTGTATAAGACTTGAAGAAGGTGGGCCTAATGCGTAATACCTCGAGAGACCCGTGTCAGATCAGTGACAGATAATCTGATAAACATATTATGTCCAATGATTGGTGTAGAGGACTAAAGAAAGCTGGAGAATTGCATACTAATTCGACCCGTGCCGCCAATCTCCTTGCATAAACACAATCAATCGATCAATCTTTGTTCTTTCGTACTTTCAATGATCGCCTTTAATTGAGGCTGACTAAGGTAGTCTCTTGCATAAACACAATCAATCGATCAATCATCGTTCTTTTGTACTTTAATTGAACGTTGCTTGTCTCTCTCTCTCTATACCCTATAAGGCAGACAGTAGAAAAAAAAGGGTAAATGATAACGCACAAACTCAGCCGCATATTACACTGCATTTGCATACGTCCCTTACTTACGAATGGCATCACTTGCGTGGTCATATTGGCCTTTGGAGTCTTAATTCATTGATAGCTTGATAATTGAACACGCAAGGGCAAACGAAAAAGGCGTCAGAAAGTCGAAACGGCACTGGGTGCCAGCCCTGGTGTGTTGGGCATGAGGTCAGGTCGATCCGAGTCGCATTGGGCGAGTGTATGCAATTAGCCTGTAATGGGCCTAGTCCTATTTCCCCATAGACTCTCTTTGTTACCAAATGAACCAGACTTGGACACGCAAGGGCAGGCGGAAAGTCGTCAGAAAGTCGCTATGGCCACGGGTCTCGGCCCTGGTATGTTAACCGTGGGACGGAATGGTTGCCAGCCGCCTGAGGCCTATGCATGCGTATGCAATTGGCCTAGGGGACAAAAGTGATCAATTGTGGTCTGGCGTGTGACCATGGACAGCGGAGTGGATAATAGTGTACTGATTAACAGGTCCATCACGCGTCGTTGATTGGCCAATTAACTAAACCGGCTTATTCTAATCCGTCTGGCATTACTCTAATTGAAACAGATTAGCGGTACACCCTGTTGAGGGTTACCTGGCTCGGTGGTTAACTGTTCTCCAAAAGTATGACTATGAGATTGCTCTTCTTCTTCTTCAGTTTACGTTACAAGTGTAAGGTACGACAATGTAGCTTGAGCATCGTTAATATCACGGGATTGTATGATGTCGGTCCATACAA